CAGATCTTTCAAAAAGAGAACGCAAGGCATCGGGTTGGAGCTGAACTTATTTGACACCAAGTAGTATTTCTGTAAAAAGCTCTACGTAAGTGCTTGTATAAATGCAGTGTCGGCAACGATACCTTATTACCTCAAGCACTTCAGATGTTTCGCAGGGTCAGGAGAACCTAATTGTGGTTCGTTCTGCTTCTAGTATTGGTACGCCCGTTATCTTATGTGTTAGTTGTACGTTATGTCACGTTAGTTGACTGGACTACCTTCAACGGACATACTGACAAAGAAAAAAAAATTATTTTTCCATTTTTGCAGGTTTTTCTTATTGAGTAACTTGACGTACACGGAAACTGAGTCATATAACATAGGAAAAAGTAGCCAACTATCTACATAATAAATATATCGTTATTTTTCTGTGTGTTACAGTATATGGTTTCGTTTGACCCATGAATATGGCAAAGGACGCTGACTGCACAATTAAGGTACGTACCTGATCATTTCTACTTGCCTACATATCACCGCTGCTGGTTAAAGCAAACGGAATAGGCCTGCCCTTAAAACCTGACAAGTGTTTACTAGCTCCGTCACCGGCACCTCCCGGACCGATATACGGCAACATCTGAATTGTCAACAAATTTTGCGTAACAACCCCTCTAATATAGCCTTTAACTTACGCATACGTCAACTGTTACTTTAGCAGCGAAACATAATTCTATAACAAAAATCTGTGCGTTAAAGATGCTGTCACCGACATCGAGTCCGAATCATTGATAGGGGTAATTCGAGCGATTTACTATGAAAGGGCCCACGGTAGTGCAGTTTACGCTGTCTATCGTGCGAATCCTGTTTTGTTTTCATTAAAAGAAATCTTGTTGTTAGAGCAATTGCAGCGGGGTCCGCCATGCGTCAGTCGAGCCACGAGAAGCGTCTCCAGAGCTGAGCACAAAGGTACTCCCACGTCAGTGGCGCTCGTTCTGTCGTTTTATCACAGCGGCAACGACAACCGTGATAAGATCGGTACGGCCCATGTAATTCTGTCGTCAAGGTCGACATAACGAGAATAGATGAAAATGGATTTGTAGCGGATAGCTAGCGAACTGACAGCTTCTTGGAGAAACAACAGGTTGACACTTATCAGATTCGCCGAATGCCAGCGTTCTAGATTGCCAATTCGAGAGCAACACGCAATTCAGAGCTCGTGTCCGATCTACAAAATCGCTTGCTCTTATCTATATTTGGTAGAAAGAAATGAAGAGTTCCGCCCAGTTGGGACGGTGTTGTTCGGCAAACGTTTTGGCGGAGATTTGGCAAGAATGTGCGCTTTAGTATCACCGTCTTTTGATACTGAAAGTTAAGTGTCGGCACAAATTATATTGGATCGGTCTTTGGAGCAGGTAATAATGAGGGACAACCGAGCAGGTTAAGTAGAGGCAGAGTCCTCGAGTAAGTTTATCTAACTTACGACAGGTGTGGTCTAGTCGAAATTGTACCTGGTCAAGTGTTTAAAGGAATAATTTCCTCATTATTGCTTAGCAGTCAGGCACAGTAACAAAATTCCACAAAATCTCTCTTTAACTACTACTCTATACCCGGTATACATAGAACAAAGGTTTATCCCAAACACTACGATCTATAGCTTCAATAAACATCGATAACTAACGTAACTATGCCCACTTGGTGCTAGTAAATAATCTGTTGCGCGAAGAGACAAACGAGGTGCGTGAAGTACGGGATCCTTGCAGCCAATAATTTCACTTTGACAGCCACAGGAGCACCAATAGCAACGGCAAAATTACTACTTAATTAAGGAAGTTAACGCTCCTTCATGCATTTTATTAATCACACACAAACAAACAAACAAACACATCACTTGGTAAGGCCTGCACCACAGGCGTATATAGGCCGTATGGCTGTTAATGACAATTCGACTCAATCAATCACTGCTGCATTCTGCTTGATCGTATACCATCGACGTTAACAATGATAATGATCATTTCTAGGCAGACTTTCGCTCTTAGTTGCTATCGGGCCGGCTCAGCGAGTGCGTCCATTTAACGCAGACGCCAATATGTCAGCGTTGGTAAGGCGCACCCAGGCACTTTAGCCTGCGTGTCCCGTTGAACGATTATGAGCAGCGTGCACGAAACAGCTAACACAGTCGTAAATGTTCTGCCAATTAGATAGAGTCTTGTAATGGGCACTGGATGCCGAGCACGTACACACATCATGCAAGTTCACAGTTTCAAAGCTGTTTTGATTGACCAATGCCACAATGTTCCGATGAGTGTTTACTTTAATCTATTTATTAGTCGTCGAAAAAAGGAGACACAATCATTTTCGTTCGGTTAATCACAACTACCGGCTTCGGGAACGCCTGGCCAAATTGCAACGTTGCCCTAACAGAATATTGCAGGGAAAATATAGACGACTAGTATAAACTAGTAAATAACAAGAAAAATCTACAAAGAACAAGGGAGTGGCCAGAACAACAAGCAGTTTCTTGGTATTTTGTTATATATCATTTATATTCTCTATATATTGTGCAATGCGTTGGGCGTAGACATCATATTATACCGGGCATGAGGTAGTTAATATGATTCATAGGTAATCGTTTCTAATTAACGTCAACAGAAACGACGAAGACACGCAGGAATACGTTTCGAAGCCGCACCTCATGCGTATTCACACAATAAATCTACACATTCACTCTTTGTTCAATATGGTGCTTGGGTAATTCTGTACGCTCGATCCCCGGTCCGTGGGATTCAACTACAGCTGGAAAAATCGTTCTTCCGCTGATAAAGCGTACTATAACGCCGCTTTCATTCGGCTGTAGCGGGTATATAGTAAAAGTAGAGTTGATTCTGTACCACGAACGTCACACGGCACACGAAATTTGACATACTCGTTACCATCGTACAAGATGTCCAGCATGGATGCAATTGCAAGGGTCATTACGATTAAAGTTGTAAAAACAAACAATCCGACTAACATGTGTGTAGAAAATGTCGACATTTATAAGGCCTTACTTAACTTCCAGGAGTTCTGTTTTACTGTATTTACAAACTTAACGAGACGAAGTTGAACAAAACTGATTCATTAACGTGCAAGTTCAGTGAAGCACAGTATAGAGCGGGTGTCGAATAGGGACGATCATTTATGTGTTCAGTGCCTGTGATTCACTCAGCTGTTTACAGGGTAGAAACAATCACGAACGAGTGAAAGAGTGTTATATTCGTCTTTTTTTTTTCTTTAGATATTCCTAAAGACGTACGTCTCTAGTGCTTCTACTGCTAATTAGTGTGTATGCTGTACTTGATTTTGGCCATATAGTAAACGTCTTTATTGACAGTAATAAAAGCACTATGGGTCCTATGGAAGTGTCGTTGTCATTAGCGCGACTCTAAACAACGCATATTCAATGTAAATGAAAAAAAAAAAATAAACGCAGTGATTAATGCGTCAGTATTGAATAAAGAGTATTACCGAGCAATCTATAAAACGTGCTTGTGACTATTGCATATATATATATATATATATCTCACGTAATCTTACCAAAACAGTAGACTGGCCAGGCAGAACTCGACTGCTCCTCGTCTTTCCAAGTTTCATTATAATCAATTGCAAGGTTAATATATTGTGACAGGGGCGTACATCTTTCCTTGGGGTTAACGACTTCCATGTTTCAACGCCCCTTTATTTTGCTACAATAATTATGATAATCCGTTAACGATAAATGGACTAAGCCCGTTTTCCTTGAGCAAATCAACTCAAATAGAAAGAAGATTATGACTTTAATACGAAGAAGACACTTGGGCCTCATCGTGCAAAGTAGCACGTGTCGTCAATATTATTACTTTGACGTTGAAGACAATCATAAAAATAAGTGATCCCCACGAAGCATATTATCTTTCCTATAATGGCAACGAATTGAAGACGAAATCAAGCTGATTCATCCGGACAGGTAACTTTAATGGCTTACTTGATTGTTGGAATTATCGACTAATTTGAAAGATATCCACTGGTAGGAATAATTAGATGATAATTCCATTCCTGTTATAGAAAGACCCACACAGAATGTAACGCTCGTTTGTTTTAGGTCATAAAATATACAAATTTGTCTTTAAGCATTGTCTTTGAGTGATAGTTCACAAATAGTACGTAGTCTATCACTTCATTCTTCGTTTCACTTAATTTTTTTCATTATACCGATCTGGAAATACTAAGCCATAAATATCGTATAATTTTCTGACCCCTTGATTGCCTGCCCTATTTCGTGTTGTATTTGGGGCGAATTGCATCCAAAGGTTTAAGCGAAGGTCTTAGTCTGAGAAACGTGGAAAATTTCAACTAAACCCTCTCATTCGAAAATATTGAATAAGATGGTTTTACTACATCTGCAGCCGGCTTCTTATATTTGGCAAAATCTAACAGTCATCTATGAGTTACGAAATTATGAGACATATGAAAATGTCTCAGATTCACGAACCAGAGGTGACGAACGTGACACCGACATAAACCATTTCAATAATTTACTAACTCAAGGTCATTGTTTTGGTCAAATTAATTTAATTTGTTAATTAAAAAAAATTGCAAGCCAACCCTACGAAATTTCGTAAAGCGGATCCGTCTAGATGGGGTTGTGATTTGGTTCAAGTAGCATAAAACCTATTGTTTTTTAAACTTTTTTTGCACAAAAATATTTTAGACACTCGCTTTTATCATTAATTTTGTGCGTATATTACATAAATAAATTCCTCTTGCCCTCTCTACATTATTTATGTAACGGGAACCAATACGTGCTAGTGTTAGGATCTGCCTTTGCTAGCAACGTGCTGCTACCTGTTGACAAAAACAGGTCTACCTCATAAGTTAGTTAGGTTATAGCCTTCAGTTCCTAACTTAGTAAGCTATCTTTACCTAAAATAATCGTTAAGTACGACACGAGTTATCATAAGTGGACATTAAATTTGTATAGACCTTTGCGTTTCCATTTCACATCTTACCTTCATGATTATTGCTCCTTTATGGACTGGCTTCCTTTCCCCAGTACGCATCACGTAGGATATCCTAGAGTTAAGTGCTCAAGTCTCTCAATACCTGGCTATTAGTACCGCTCTTCTCCAACGCGAAATCCCTCCCAAACGTGATTCAAGCACACACGAATACACTCGTGCCCCGTAGCGACACTGGGGGGTACTTTACGTTTTTCCGCGCACGCCTCCACCGTTTTCCTTCTCTTTCTTTGTCGTCGTTGTTCGTCGTCGTCGTCGTCGTCGTCGTCGTTGCCGTCAGCGACGAAGTGTGCTTCCACACTCTCGGCTGACCTATTTTATACAACTGGTGACTGTTATCACCGTAGCAAAATCTAACTGAAACTGACCAACCTGTATCGGCCGCCGTTTGTCTTTATAGCAGACGCCGCCCCTAAGCCAAGCTGTGGCGCCCTCTGGCAGCGGGGAAAGCAACGCGATGTAACGTTGCCATGCATACTTTGTCACTCACCACCGTACCACAATTCACCGCTACTCTGCACCGTTGCTAGATAGCAACGCAATAGTACAGTCCGGTTTTGGACATCCACAACATCCGATGGAGCTGGGGCCGCTGCAACACTATCGGCATGACTGTTGTCGAGACCCAATGACACCCTGACAAGCAATCATGAGCTCGCCACTCGCTACAAGGCCTGCGTCCCGCGCGGATCGGCGATTAGCGAGATCCTGGAGCGGATGGATCAGACAAGAGTCACTCCGTAGTCAAGACAAACCATCACCGGGCTGCTACACAAAAAGAACTGTGCTATGACGTCTTTAACGGCGACGGTAGCTGGTCCCTTCACATCTTCGATGCTGTTGTTAATGCCACCGCTGATGTCACTGCGTTGGCCGGGGAACGCTTTGCGCCCCAACTGGCTGCGGCAAAAGATGAAAAGTCAGGCGCTAAGAAATGTTCGAAAGGCAGTAACAATGTAAGCCTAGCCGTCGTCTCGTAACGGACAAGCTGGCTCTGCAACGCCAAGGCTATAGGCAGAAGGAGGTGTGGGGACGTGAGGAAGCAGGGAAGAATTGGCCGTCGGCGGTATCGAAATTTCTGTTCCTGCGGTTGGTATCGAACATTGTTCATGCTTGTCAACGCCCACCACACGCTTTGCCACGTAGCGTAGCCGTGCTGCAACCATAAAGCGAATAAGTCTGCAACAAGATGTTAAGAAGCATTTCAGATCAGAAGAGAGTCCTCCAGTTAACTTAAGCCAGAGATTTTAAAGCACGGAATATATAAAAATACCAAGATGTATCTGTCTGTACACGCCAAGTAAGTAGTTGTTGTCTCGCGGATTATTTGGCCTGTTAAACTTAATCTTCAGAGGTTGTGGGGATCGGAGGATGTAATACTAATGCGCCACAAAAGGTGATGAGAATATATTTCAATTACACACTAGAAAAATATTTAACAGTATAGTCGATATATATAATCTTATAGGTAGAAGGTCTCAATCAACCCTATTCTGTTTGTAACCCCCACTTAGTTCCTTTGATTTTAACGAAAATTAATAATAGAAGTCGACTCCAAACTGACCCTAATAATGATTACGATGATTACCACAATGATATTCTTAAGTATCGTTAATAACTGACCTGATTATAAGGATTCTTGTAGTAGACAGTTTTTTTTAAATCAAAAACAAGAAACAGCAAAAAAAAAAGAAAACCCGTATCGTTGATTCGCTGCACTGCATCAAAGTTGGGCTATGATCGATCGACTTATGATATTATCGTTGTAAAACACAGACAATAATAGCCCAAAAATTATTAAAAAGTTTTAAGTTCATCTTACATAGCGTTGTATATATGCATATATATATATATATGTATATACCTTTTCTGAATCCTCTTGGTGCTTTCGAGACTCAGACAATTGTGTTGAGATATGTAAACGCGTTTTAAGCTGCCTATAAAAACAGAAAGTAGGCAACGTTAAGATTTTGCGTACAAAAGTACCAAAGTCCACATTAGTACTAACTGCTAGCATTTCGCACCAAAGTTGCACCAAATCAAAATGTGCAGTTCATGACCTCTGGTAGCTTAAGGACCACTATTTCTCCGGAACTAACTTATTCAACTCGAACAGAAGAAAAGTTGAATATTACAAATACACATATATATATATCCCTTGTACAGCTCTTTACATTTCGTATTTACTAGAATTAGATAACCACAACATATGCAGCATCGAACCTGGCACGTTCAAGCATTTATGCTGCACGTACGCTCGTACAGCACGATAAAAGATAAGCGATGGAGATATTTATATGTGTAATCGAAAAAGTGAATAGAGGCGAAATCCTTAATAGCATTAAGTCTGTACTTTAGGCTCGTATTGTGAATGACTGAACCTTGACGTAACAAGGCCATTGTGCCTAGTGCTTTGTTATCTCTGTTGTTGAATTCGGGAGGTACATTGAAACAAGTAGTTTTCTAAACAACTCGTACTGACGTGTTGTTCAGGGTTGTTAGCAAAGTTGTAAACACATCACTAGTTCTAATGTCACTGCATATATTGCAACTTCAGCCATGCTGAAACGTACTAGCTATTAAAATATTATAACAGTCTTTAACTGGGAGAGCATTTTTTCTATTACGGCATTTGAGCTTAAAGGGTACACAAGTGATGCGGTCTCCCGGCAGTGCTTGGTTGTCCAGTCATAAACATATCGCAGCAAATGCTAAAAGTAATAGTGCGTTATTCTGATTGAAAAATTAACATTTAGCCAGCACTGACATTTCGATTGTATACATTTTTCACGCAACAAAGAACTCTAAAATATCTATCGTTTAGTTTTATACAAATGTACGCCTGTCGTTGAAAAGCTGTAAGCGCTTCGACGATCATACACCAGAGTGGGGATTACATCCTTCCACTTAAGAAGATCCTACCACGCTTCATGATATGAATATAACAGCTATCAAATTTATTAAAGCCGATCCTGTTCATCCTTACTGCTAGCTATTTTTTCAAATTTGTAACTAATTTAGAATTTTCAGCAACGGTGTACCGTTTTGATCTGACAGTATCAATTAATAGAAGTGCCATGTATGTCACGAGTGCGTGCACGCGTGCATAATTGACCACCATGTTGAATTTTCCATCATTGTCGTCGTAGCCGTGGCCAATGTTAGTTATATTGATATAAGTGTCGATAGCTTTTGCTAGTGTCTACTAGTTTATTAGATGCTGAGACAACACTTGATGCCCTTCAGGCGCCGTATCTCGACTCTGTGCTTAAAACTCTGCCGGTCACCTTCGCGTATGCCAACTTCCACCCTGTTAGATACCCCGCTGAGCAAACAGAAAATTCAAATTTTTGGGGATTGTGATATTTCAACATGCAGTACTGTGCCGTGCAGTGCGTTCAAGGGGGCCTAGTAAACGACTGAAATTCTGGCTTATATGTTCCATGTGGTCGATCCTGGCGTGACATTTGCTAGGCCCTTATCAGCGTTAAAGCTCACCAAAGCAGTCGTATCAATGGTCGAAATGAAACAACGTCCGGGAAGATGACGGCCTCTGTCTATCGTCCACATTCACACAAACTATGTCATTTTATCTTCAAGAAGAGTACGTAGCGTGCTTGTTCTACTAGGCTAGACAGGTTGGTTAAAGGTTATCTAGATTTAGAATAGAAGATGCTTGATGGAACCTCACCGCTTCGCTCCTGGGATTAAGAATAGATACAGACAGGCTGGATGTACACCTCAAATTTACTTTTCATTTGTCTAATATATTGTCCTGCGCTAGCTAAAAAGGTTATTGTTGTTTATTCCCAATGGAAAACATCATGACTTTTCCCGTTATAATATTCAAAGCTAAGTTCACTATTGAGCCGATACGTTAATGGCTGGACCAAATGTTGGAACCTCTTTATTTCACAGTTGGAGAAATCTAAAATATGAACGTACAAATAATAGGTCTAGCAGAAAAGAGGTTTGCGTTCATAAGTAATGAATATATTTGGTTACGTTAATATGGGTTTCCAAAGTAAGAAGCTATTTGAGAGTACTTTATTGACGTTACAGTTGAGCCAGGCAATGTTTAGGTGACGCAGTTTAGCTGATGCTAAACTCCGTTTGGGTGATTGTCTTTAGGGTTTGCCGGTGGCAGTCTCACTATTTGATCACATCGATAATTAAATTTTTCTTAATTATAACTATGCGCCGCAGGGTACCATTATGGTTGGTCGTTTCGAAGTCAATTTGTGGATAGACTGTTTTTTTTTTGTTCATTGATAATAATAGTGGACAAATGCCGTACGCGAACACTACGAAAGATACATTTCTTTAAACATCTGTGAAGGGGACGAACTTCGAATGTAGCGCGCACCTGTCGACGTATTTCTCCCTATCTAATGAACTTCTCGTAAACAAGTTGCAGATACAAATGTATTTTCGTAGAAACTATATCCTTAAATGTTGTTATAATTTCGAGATTGTTTGTCAAGTAATGAGTCCAAATACAAAAAGCAAGGGGCAGTCAAATAAGAAATGTATGTTATTTGTCTATGTCACCTGGACGGCCTAATAAAAATAACAACGTCGAACAATCGTGGACAGGAAGCCATTATTCATACGTATTCTCGTTCTGCATACGTACTGTTGCTTCACGATGCAGCGTACTCCCTAGATAATTCTAATAAGAGTCAAGGATACGCGTAGAACAAAAGCGTTAAGATTCATAATAACAGTAATAACTATGTTAGGATATCAATGACCGGCGACTGTTTGCAAAGGGTCGCAAGGACAAGTGTCCTACAAACGAGACAGTGTTTCTAGCGATAAAAAAAAAAAAAGCCATACTACCGTTACTAGTAACGCATAGAATAATAGAATTTAAAACGCTTAAGCCTACGCTGGGCATGACAAAGGCTGGCTGAGAAATAGGGCGAAGCTGCAACGGAACGAGCGTTGGTCGTCCTGACTCAGAAGGTATATATAATGGACAATATGAATGTAGACCTAATAAGCCATAGTCATTCATACGCCTGGAAACGAAGACGTAAAGCTAAGAGCTAATATAAAAATAATATACGAAATTGGCAATTTGTAACGAGGAGTACGTCTGGAAATTATAACACCTATCAAAGTCGAACTGAATGCGTTACACAGCATCTGATCAAGACGTTTGCCGAGACCAACAAGGCCACAGACAAATAAATAATCCTTTCTATAACTTGTGTAGGACTGTCGCTGGCAAATTCCGTTTGCCAGCGACAGTCCCATACAGTTTCCACCCGTCTACGAAAGCTATCATTTTATATTCATGTCTTCTCGAAATATAAATCAGCTTAACAGACGAATCTGACATGTTCAATATACTTAAACGCTTCGAACGAATCTT